CCGGGAAACCGCCCCCCGGCCAACCCCAGGGTACAGCCCCCCCCCCAGGGACAACCCCCCCCCCCAATGCACACCCCTTGCCAGGCATACAGTCCAGTCCAGTCCAGCATGGGAGACTCCAGGTACCAGACCACCACCCCCGCCATGCATCATAGGGTACAGCCGAGGTGGGGGGACTCCAGGGAGCAGGCACACCCCCACCACTGCCAAACCCGTGGTACAGCCCCACCCGGGAGACTACAGGTAGGAACACCCCGCGGCCAGGCACATGGTGCAGTCCTACTCCGGGAGCCCCTGTACTAGGGGGGCACCCCCCCGCGCCATAGGGCCCTCTTGGTACATACAGCCTCGGGGTGACGAAGGGAGCAATCCCCGGGTACCGCCCCCCGCCCTGAGAAGTGGGGTCGCCCACAAGGCTCATACCACTGCCCCACCGGCCCTGCGGTGCCCCGCGCTCACGACCCGCACCCCCTTGCGCCACTCCCCGCGCCCGCAGCCCCCGCCCCCTATTTATTCCCCAGGTGTTGATGGGGCGCGGGGGAGCAGACCCGCCTCGGCCAGCTTTTGTATCTATGAAAATAACGTATTTTTTTAATGGTAAAACCACTTTTTTAGAGACTTGCAATAAAGCGACAACAGCCCGCGAACGGAATCAATGAGTGATGGGGAAGGGGGAACGCCTCTGCCTTGCTCACGCGCGGATTGGATCCGGGGGCTGTCAATCTACTAGCGAGTCACGCCCCCTGAGAGGCGATGGGCTGCGGGGCCTACCAGTCATGCAGAATACCCTCCCCGGTAGCTGCGCCCTCTCTGGGCGGGGATTGGTGCCTGGGCTTGTCTGTCAGGTACAGAGTCCAGACGAGCTCCCCCCCACCAAGGCGCTGTAGCAACCGGTGATTGGTTGCTGGGAATACCGGTCACGGGCAGCGGCTGACGGAGTTGGTCTCGCCCAAAGGAGCCGTCCCCCCTTGACACTGGGCTCTTCCAACCACTTCGCCGGCTCCCTGGGGTGCCTCGGGCACCGGCCCCTTCCACACAGGAGCGCTTCTTGCTCTTGGGCCCCGCAGGGTCACCCAGGCACGGCGCCTGGCCCCGCTTTGCCATATCAATTTGGTCTTGCCCATCGATACTTTCGGTGCTCAGGCTGGTCGTCGCTTTCCGTTTCGCATGCGCGCTTCGCGCCACGCATCGATAGTTCTGACGCTCGGTTGCTATAGCCTGTTCCTGGTGCGCACGCGCACCGAGACTCGTGACTCTCTAGCTTCGGTTTTCCTGTATAACTGCCAGTGTAACCAAGGAAACCCATCAATGATTCCGGCACTTGGCAGCGTCCCCGGGCTGCCAGGACACATGCGCCAATCCACAATTTCGGCGATTGATATATTTTAACTCAGACCACTAGGCTTGCGCAATGACCACGTCGCTTCGATACATTCGGTGTTCAGCTGATGAGCCTGTCCCCGCCAAGCGCATGCGTGCTTGGTTTGCCCGTTCATGGGCAAACGCGATGCGTCGCCCATACGAAAGTACGCATATGTGCTCTTGTCCGCTCATCGATGTTTTCCTCGCCCGATTGGGAGCTGGGTCTCCCCCAGCTTTGGTTTAAGAAAGTGGCCGATTTCCGACACGGCCATGTAGCGCTCCGGATGGGTGCAGTAGCGGGCCCAGAGTGCCGCGGGGAGTGGGGCCTCCATGCCCCTTCCCCCGAGTATTGTCCCCCTCCCCAGAGGTTTGGTATAGCGCTTTACCCCAGAGCGCATGCGCAGCGTGTCGTCCATCTATGTTTCCACGCTCTT